AATGTTTACTTTTGATTTAGAGCGATAAATTCCCACAAGATGTAAATTAATTATTTACTGGTTGGTTTACTTTGAGTAATTCCATTTCTACATGAGTATAGCTGCACCTTGAAGGTTCTAAGATGAGTTGTATATTTAAGAAATAGAAAACGAGTCGCGTGCGTTTATGGTGTGATAATGCACGCGGGGAATGTTGGAAGAATACGAGAGAAGCGTGTAAAACACGAGGCGTAGCCGAGAGTTTTAGACGCTTCTCGAGTATTCTCCCAACATTCCCCAAGTGCATTATCGCACTATAAACGCACGAGACGAGTTTTTCTATTTCTTTTATAATATAAGTAGAAGATATTACATAGTAAACAATTTTACTCAAAAGATCGACGTTGAAATTCTCCTTACATGTACTCAGTGACGTCACGCCCATGCTTTTACTCATTCACTGTTGCTTGAATTTTTAAGCGAGCGAAGGAGCAAAAATTGTCAAAACAATATACAAACTTTTGATCCTATAAAGCCGGAAAAATTGTTTAAAATAGTGGAAATAAAAAAGCAGTGATACACAGAATAACTTGCCAAAATTTTTCAGCATCTGGGCTGCTGGATTTGCCATGAAAGACGATAAACGCGTTTAAACTCAGTTTTAATTTTCGAAATTATTGTGTTTTTTATCTTTAATTCGCCGAAAATATATCTAGCAGTTATTATCAGAAGAATTGAAGGTACTTTCCAAATCACTTGTATTCAGTTTTTGTTGCCTTTTTGTATGTATTTGATCTTCCAGCTGTATCTTTTTCAAGTTTTTTCCCCAACTATTTTGTACGCTTTTACGCAAAACTTGTCGAGACAACAACAAATTCGACGAATACTAAGCCGGTTTATGCTACACGTAGAACTATAAAAAATTGCTTTGTTCCTTTGGTCTATTCCTTCTTGCTTTCTGGTAAATTTTGCATTTTAAAAGCTCTATAGTTTTGTTTATATTTTTGGCTAAAAAGCAGAGATGAATCGGGGGGAAAAACAGAGAAAGAGCAATTAAGCAGTGCTACAGATCACAGTGCATTATTGCGTCACAATGCACGCGCATTAGCCAATGAAATCGTCTGTTATATCCCACTTACATTATAATGTCTTTTACGTAAGCAGCAGTTCCGTAAGGTGTTCTAGTACTATCTGGGATTGAAGTCATTTCTGAATAGTTGAAAGCCTGGAATCTGATACAATTCATTGTCGTCATTACTACATAGAGCAGTTTCTACAAACATATTAATATCTGCTGCTTTTGCATTACAATCACTCGCAACATCAGCACCGTGAAGATGTAATGATCTCACATTTTTTAATAATATTCTAAATGTATCACTAGTATCTTTATAGAGAAATGGAAGATGGCTTTTAAGTACAGAATTTTGTTTTAAGCTGGAGTTACACGAGCAAACTTGCAACAAAGGCTGATTTTAATGTTAAGTAGAAATGCCGACACATGTTGCCTTGTGATTTGTAATTTATGTGTAAACATTTTCATTTAACATACGTTGAAATCAGATTTTGTTGCAAGTTGCAGCAATTTTGTTGCTTGACGAATAACTCCACCTCTAGTCTTGTCATGTATTCTTGTACCTTGTTGCTCATAGCTATTTTCTTTTTGTTCAGATTAAGAATATGTAATCCCAAAATGCTTCTAAGTTTGCTAAGGACAACGTAATGCATGTGCTCTCGCTTTAACGATAGAAGGTCAACAACGGCTTCATTTAATGTATCTCCTTGTCAACGGTGAATAGTTTTGGCTGCAGATGGATTTTAAAATATTGTCTGCGGAGAACTTGTATTTACTTTTTGTAAATTGCCTTCTTCCAAGAATTGGAACTTACATTTTTTCTATATTCTGATTGTATTGATAAAAGTATTCTCTGCGATAATCATTTCCAATATGTTGTTCTTGAAATAAAACCAAGATAATACTTGGTCTTGATGAACCTTGTACTCAGTAATCGATTTTTTTTATTATACATTCAGCACCATTAATCATACCATCTAAAACCTTAAGTATTCAACAAACTGAGTACAAGCCTATGGTTTTGGAAGGATTGTTTGAGATTTGCTTTTTAGCCCTGCTTTCAAGCCGTCACATGCAGATAAATCTCCGAGTACAATGTATATTGCTTTAAACCCGACCTTCTCGTTGAAGATTTTTGAAAAACGTGTTTACTGTGTTGATCAACTGCCATATTAGTACTGGATAAATGGATTAAAGATATTGAATAATCAGGATGTTGTGGACTAATGCTTAAAATTCTTTGTACAAACAGTCAATCTTCATTGCCTAACAGATTATTTTTCACTACCTTTTATACTACCTTATATAAGTCTTATTTCGACTCAAATCATTGCTCTTTTACATCGAATATTTTCAATGACTTCGAGTTAAGCCCTTCGTTTTTCACAGGGTTGAACTCCAACTTTCCAAGTTGTGTTTCTTTCTTCGAGTTAAGCCCTTGACGAAAGTGGTTGTGGTTTGGAAGTGATCGGGTCTTAACTCGAAGATTACCTACCTCTCACAATTCAGGTGGTCTAAATGAAAACTACTTCATCATTATTTTGCCACGGGAAAATTTAAGTGGGATTAAATCAATCAAGACATGAAGTACTTGCAATGTTCAGGAGGGAGGACAAGGGTTTCCAATGGAATTTCTGGTCGAAATAATGTTTTTGAAATATTTTCACCAAAATCTAGGAGGATAATAAAAAATAAGGGACCATGCAAAATTTACTAACACGCAGGGCTAGTGGATAAACAAGCCTTGAGTAAATACAAATGCAAATAACATAAATACAAATGTAAACAATTTGAAAATTTATATTGTCTGAGGCTTATTTTGCAATGAGCTATATAAGTATGTTTAAATATTTAAGATAAAGAGGAAATAAAGATTACTCACAGTTTTTCACAGGTAATTTTCAAATTAATGTCAGAAATTACTCTCAAAATTAACAAAGGTGCGTATGCCTGTGCTTGCTTGACTACATTATAAATACAATGCTTCTTATCATTGATTACTTATGTAGAATTGGCCTTAAAATAATATTAATAGAAAATTACACTTGTTCTCGAAGTATTAATGAAAAATCACACTTGTGCGATTTTTCATTTAATAATACTTCTCGAAACGTGTAATTTCCTATACGAATATTAAATGGCTCATTTTCACAAATGAGCCAATTGCGGAATGTGCAAAGCATCATGGTAGTTTAGTTACACAGCAGAATTTCTCAATATGGCGCTTATACTTTTCGAACGAGGGAAGGTGCTAAACACATGAAAATTGCAAGGAAACTTTTATCATTTTCGCTTTGATTAAGTTTTGACTAAATCTGTAGGGCTTGTTTCATATTTCTGTTGTGTCTTGGGTTTCTACGAGCGAGTGTGGTTGAAATATTCAACATGGCGTACAAAGTCACTGAAGCGGGGAAGGAGGTCGATTCGTGGTAGTCATAAACAAATTCCGGAATATTTCACAACTTAAAGGTGAGCACTGCATTAAATTATTTTCGAGGTAAGGAACACGTTGTAACGTATTGTTTGCCCAAAATTTTTCTATCGACTCGAGAGATAAAAATATTTGCACACTTGACCCTCCCAAACCAACACATATTTGATCAAACTTTCGTTTTACAAACTAAAACATTGACATGCTTTTGTGAGCTTTGTAACATAACTTGCTGGCAAGAGAGTTTTGCTAAGCGTGATGTGAGAAAAACATTTTCTCTTTATTTCGTTTTTGTACCGAAATGTACGTGAGGCAGTTAAACGATTTCGTCGTTCATGAAACGAAAGTTTGTTCTGTGACTGCCCTCTTGTATTGCATTCAATGTAAACCGTTTGTTCCTTGATTGTAAAAAGAGTGGTTTGAGTATATGGTGTATACTGTACTCCGGAGAAGGCAAATGTTTGCACACTGCCGCAAACTCAGGAACAACAATTTGTTCCAGTATAGATGTTCGAATTTCGATATTGTACATTTGATTTGCAAATAGGTTTGCATCATCACCTTTCTGAAAGGCAATTTTTCAACAAATTCTTGATATTGGAATGGTTCACAATTATTGGATACTAAATCCCTGCAAATAATCACAAGTGCCAACAGTTTTCAAACCGGTTGTCAAGTCTTCTTATGTCTTCAACATTTATATGTTTAGCAAAAGCAGCTGCTGGGTTGTTGTAGTCTGCTGCGCACTATTTTTTCTGTCTTGGACGTTGCCTTGCTTATTTTTACTTTGTCGAAAAGCACTGCAGTATCAAGTTTCTCGTCAGTAAGTTGTGTACGTGTTAAATCATCTCGGACTTCAGTTTAATATTTATTCAAGTTGAATATGGTGTAAAATTTGAAAATTATAGCAGGGCAGCTATATGTTTACAGCAACTACTGCATCGGAGGCTGATGGCAGAGAAGCTTTAGTGAGATGAAGTTCAAGACTAAACGTACAGAATAAAGGGAGAAATCTAGAAGAATATTTCGCTGAGAAGGCAAATGCATTGTTTAGATCTGGAGCAGGACATATTAGTACTTTAACGAGAATAGAAGGTGACATTGAAACAATTATGTGTGCATGTGAGGAGACGAGTGAAATTATGTCGAGAAAGGCAAAGTATGATGATCCTTGGCGAAAATCTGTAAACGCTCATGAGCAATACATTTAATATGTAATTTCAAAGGAAGAAAAAGCAAAAGCACTTCCGAGTTATGAAAGGCAGAAATAAGAGAATTGTATTTTGATGAGGAAGTTCAGTACTGGTGCAAAAATCTCGAATTGGAAGCAAGAGAAAATGCAGAAGAAGTGTCAAACTCTGGCAAGAAGCAAAATGGAACAGCCCAAACAGGTAATTTTTCTGAAATGTCTAGTCGGAGTGGAAGGTCAACAGCTATACCAGAAAGGCGGATAAGTTGGCTTTAGCAAAGCTGAAAGTTACGCAGTTGAATAAACAACATCGGCTTGAAAGAAAAATGACTGAATTGAAGTTTGAAAAGAAAGTGATAGGAACACAAATGGAAGAAGAGCGTGCAGCGGTAAGTCTATTTATGAACCAGATAATCAGGAAGAACATAATTTAGATCAAAATGAAGAAACCAGATTACAACTTAGAGACGGTGCTATGAATAGGTCTGGTTTAAAATCAGTAAATTCTATACAAGTAGTAAAGCTAATAGAGAAACATTTAACTTTTCGAGGGAATTTTATGGATGTAGAGGGTCAAAGAAAGAAGAATCCACACCTAGTCAGAAACAAGAAGGTGTTTCGAGATATTATGTTGATCAACATACTCTGAGGCAATATGGACAAGAACTGCCAGAGTTTAGTCAACCCCCTGCATTTACAGAAATATGCCGTCCGCCAGTGAAAGTGTTAGAAGACGAAGTTTGGAGTCAGGAAGCAGAAGCCACAATAGACACAGATATTGGATCGTTGCAAACATTGAGAGATTTAGTGGGAAATCCAGAAGTGTCTAACCAGCCGATTGGGCAAGGGATGTCACAGTTTAATAAACAGTGTCAACAGTAGTAACATAGGGGCCGTTCGACCCGGATTTTTGCGGTGGTGGTCGCGGTGGCGGTGGTGTGTGGTGGTGGTGGTGTTTGGTGGTGGAGTGTGAGGTGTTGGAGTTTTGAGGTGGTGGATGTCCAGCACCTCATTTATAGTTAATATTTATACGAATGAGCGTGGGTAGTGACGTCAATTATAAGTATACAATACGTCATAATTATATGCAATGACTTCGCGCGGACAAGTTTGGGCGAAATTGGACAAAACTTGGTGACTAAGCATTTTTAGCGCCGCTCCACGTGTGTAATACAATACAAGGATTTAATATTGGCTTACTATGATTGGTTGTTGGATTTAATGAGCGCCTGTATAAAATCGACAGGTGTCTTGAAATAACCATAGTTCTGCATTTGACAACGTTTAGTTGAAGTTTAGCAATTGCATGCATTTTCAGATGCAATTGAGAAAGCCTACGCCGTGTTGTGTATTTACGAACGAATTACGATGATGAACACGTAGATGCAAACCTAGTCGCCTCAAAGAGCAGAGTTGCTCCCATCAAACAACAAAAAATACCTCGCCTAGAACTTTTGGGGGCTACAATTTTAGCTCGCCTCGTTGAAAACATCTCAGCCTCTCTCATGCCTACTTTAGGTAAACTAGAGAAATTCTATTGGGTTGACTCCTCTACAGTTCCTTGTGGGGTAAAGAACAATAAACCCTGGAAACAATTCGTCCAACTCCGAGTGCAAGAGATTAGAAGGTCTGCGTCGAAAGACGCCTGGCGATTTTGTCCTGGGTCAAAGAATCCGGCTGATTTGCCATCTCGTGGGACTACAGGGACAGATCTGAAGTCGAACGAAGCCTGGTGGAAAGGGCCTGAATTTCGGCAACGTCCTGAAGACGAATGGCCAAACGACTTGGCTTGAGAGAGCACGGATCCGATTGCGATTGCAGAGGTTACGAAACACAAAACTTCTGTCATTCATAGTTTAGCCAACCAAGCGAAGCCGTTAAATCCAGACATCAGTACTGTTATTGACTGTCAGCGCTTCAGTACTAAAAGGAAATTATTGAGAACAACTGCCTACGTATTACGTGCGTTAAGTTTTTACGCAAAGAGAAAATTCAAGGAGAAAAGGTTATGGAAAGAGAAAACGCAGGGACAGCTGAAAGGGGTAGATCGTCTAAACTATCAACACTCGAACAAGCAGAAGAATTGTGGATCCAAGCAGTTTAAAGAAATTCATTTGTGGAAGAACTTAAATTTTATCGAGTAACAAAGTTTCGGCACTTCCGACTTATGTTGCACAGTTTGGATTATATGTTGATGAGCAATCGTTGATTAGATGTGATGGACGAATAAAGAATGCCCATCTCCCAAACTCGAGCAAATGTCCTGTTTTGCTGCCGAAGAACCACCACTTTACAAATTTAGTCATACAGGAAGTCCATCATCGAACAAGTCACAGCGGCATAATTCAAACCCTTTCGTCGTTGCGTGAACAATTTTGGATCATTCGGGGACGGGAGATCGTCAATAAGAACGTTCGAAGATGTGTAACCTGTAAAAGAAACGAAGATCGACTTTATAACCCTCAAGTACAACCAGATTTACTGAGTTTTAGAGTGGATGATGCACCGCCATTTGCGCACACTGGTCTAGACTTCAAAGGGCCTCTGTATGTCTCGAAGAAGTACGACGCACAAGATGCAATTTCATCTGAAAAGACATACGTTTGTTTATATACTTGCGCCTCTACAAGAGCAATTCACCTCGAACTTACACCCGATCTTACGGTGCCATCGTTCTTGAGAAGCTTTTGAAGATGTGTCAGTCGATTCGAATTACCTGCAATTTTAATATCAGATAACGCCAAAACGTTCACGTCGGCGTCACGCGAAGTAAAGAACATTATTATAAGTTCAACGTCATCTTGCAAATCAAGGAGTTAACTGGCAATTTATCGTTGAACGCGCCCCTTGGTGGGGCGGGATTTGGGAACGTATGGTACGGACTGTGAATATCGAAGCTGTAAGCAATGGGCTGGTAAAAGAGAATGAAATACTGAAGAATCAAGTATCAAATCTGCAAAATCGAGTTTAACAATTAAGTACAAACGTAAACGACCTAGAGCAATATGGCCGCCGTGAATGCCTTGAAGTAGATGATGAAGACCTTACTAATGTGGTATGCTCTATTGGTAGTTTAATAAATGTAAATATTCAACCGCAAGACATCTCAATTAGCCATCGTCTTAAGACGAAAACGCCGACGCGAAACTTAACGCCAGCAATCATCGTGAATTTCGTAAGCCGGACCACAAGGGATAGGCTTTATTATGCTAGGAAACATCTGAAAGATAAAACTACTTCAGACATTGGCTTTGATAGAATCTCTGATAACAAGATTTATATCGCAGAAAGCTTGACAAGTAAGAATAAAGAATTATTTAAGAAATGCCTCGATGCAAGGCGGTCCCTCAATTATAAATTCATCTGGGCGAATCAAGGAATAATCTATTTGCGAAAAAATTCTGACACGCATGCCAAGTTAATTACAGCTGTGCAGGATATTGATTGCCTCACTTAAGATAAGTGATTACTATTATTTATAATTGTGTACACTGTACAACTGACTAACAATGGCTTTAAACTTTGATAGTGGATCCTTACCACAATTAGATTTGTTAAAGACTTTAAACTCTTGTTCTATGACTTCTAATTTGGATCCAGATTTAAATATACCTTTGCAAACAAATTTTAATTATTATACCATGTCAGATTTTACAAATAGTTATGATATTGCCAATTGTTCCTTAGAGAATTACTTCTCGGTTATGCATTCTAATATTAGAAGCATGAATGCATATTTTGATGGATTAATGCAAATGTTAGCGGAAGTCAATCATTCCTTTTCTTTGATCGGCTTAATTAACAGGAACTAAATACAAAGTTTCTGAAGATATCCAGTATGCTAATAGTATGCCAGGTTGTTTTGTATCGCAACCTAGTTTATCCAATGCAGGTGGTGTAGGTTTCTGATCAATTAAGTTTTCATGTAAGAAATGATCTGTCAGTATCTACAAATGACTATGAATGTTTATGGGTAAATATTCAGAGCAATTTTAATCACGATTTAATATGCGGGGTCATATATAGACATCCAAATAGTCATCTTGAAGCATTCTTGGTATATTTAAACAAGGTTATGGATACAATAAGTCGAGAAAATAATTGCTGCATTATAATGGGAGACTTTAATTTAAATTTGCTTAACTCAGATTCACATTCGGGCACAGAGGAATTTTTAAATATATTGGGTTCTAACTTTTTCAGTCCCCATATTTTGCAGCCGATAAGAATTACTCATCACTCGGCTACTTTAATTGATAATGTGTTTTTTAATTCGATTGCTCACCATACAATTAGTGGCAATATAGTGTATGATCCAACTGACCATCTTCCAAATTTCCTGATTGTTAATAATTTTACCACATTACCTAAAGGTTATAAAATGTATAAAAGGGATTACACTCATTTCAACGAACAAAGTTTTCTTCGCGATGTTCAGGCTATAAATTGGAATTTGGAAACTTTAGATAATAACGTTAATAGCATGTTTGACAAATTCAATTCTGATTTAATGAAAATAGTTGATAACCATATCCCTTCAAAGCAACTGAGTAGGAAAACTATTAAAAATATGGCTCAACCCTGGATAACACCAGGAATCAGAACTTCGTTAAAAATAAAGAATAATTTTTATAAACGATATATAAATACAAGGTCCCCGTATTATTTTTCAAAATTCAAATTATATAGAAATAGACTAAATCGATTGATCAAAATAAGCAAAAGAGACTACTATAATAATTACTTTACTATAAATAATAAAAACATGAAAAATATATGGAGAGGAATTAAACAAATTATAAGTACTAAACCGAGGGTTGGCGGTGGTATACCATCTCAAATTATAGAGGAAGGATCTGTGTTGAGTGATAGCACATCGATTGCACAATCATTCAATAAATTTTTTGCTAATGTAGGAAATAATCTGGCTGTATCTGTACCCTATGAACGTGGGTCCCCAATATCGTATATGCCGCCAAGGCAAATAAATAGTATATTTCTCTATCCGATAACCTCTGACGAAATTGAAATAGAAATTAATAAACTAAACTCTTCAAAAGCCGCTGGTTCTTTTAGTGTGCCGGTAAATATTTTAAAACTAATTAAGGGGAATTATTTGCAAACCTCTAGAAATTTTATTTAATAGCTCTTTGCTAACTGTAGTAATTCCGGTACACAAAAAAGGTTCAACTATGCATTGTAATAATTATCGTCCGATTTCTTTACTATCAATTTTCAATAAATTGTTAGAAAAACTTGTTTTTAATAGAATTAGTTGTTTCATTGATGAACACAATATCTTATACAATAAGCCATTCAGCTTTCGTGCAAAACATTCTACATTACATGCAATACTTTCGATTACTGATCAGATACAAACAGCTGTTGAAAATGGTTACTACTCGTGTGGTATTTTCTTAGATTTATCTAAGGCCTTTGATACAGTTAATCATTCTATTCTCTTACAAAAACTTGAGCATTATGGATTTAGGGGTATAGTATATGACTGGTTTGAGTCATATTTATATAATAGAAAACAATTTGTTTCAATATGAGGTGTCTCATCAGGATTACTAGATGTTACCTGTGGGGTGCCACAAGGTTCTGTTCTTGGCCCTCTACTGTTTCTTTTATATATTAATGATATGAAAAACACTACTAGTGATCTTGATATTCACCTTTTTGCTGATGACTCAAATCTCTTCTGCTCCGATAAGAGTTTGTCAAGGCTGGAAACAAGGATTAACGCTCAACTATGAGAAGTTTATCGTTGGCTTTGTGCTAATAAGTTGTCCTTAAATATTGAAAAATCAAACTATATCATATTTCACTCCGTCCAGAGAAAGCTTAACTACGAAATTAAAGTCTTCTTAAATAATCAA